TTGCACATACTAAATTGAACTACGGTAACTTGAAAATTCATTTTGCACACCATTCAAAATTGGCACTTCTACGTGACCTGCACAATTTATTTCGTTGTGGGCTGCAGTTAGCCTGCGGACCGCCGATTGCAAACCTCGGCTTCAGAGTATCGGTTCCAAATCAGGGCCCGTGGCCTACCAAAAGGGCCACAATAGGTTTACTTTTCCCCTTTCAAGTAAACTCCTAGTTCTTTTTAATTTCAATGATTGATAAGATTATTTCAGTTTTTTTTTCACTTTGTTGAGCATAAATTATTACATATTATTTGAGATTTGAATTCTATCGATCAGAATAACCCTCTAAATACCTGATAAACAGGGGGCATTACTGCTAAAAGCCTCTGGAGGGGGCCATTAGCCATAAAAGGTTTGTAACCGATCATTGGAAGAATATACAATATTTGACGCTCAGCATTTCAATACTTTAGTTTCAGGAAGTGGGCATCCCAATTGAAACTGTGATTTATGCTGGGTTTGAATTTTATACAGATGGCGAATCACAGCTTAAAATTCTAAAAGTTCATTTAGACAAAGTTTATTTATTCCTAACAGCAAAAAAGATTTACGTTGCCAATATTAGTATTCTAACCTGTAATTCAAGACATTATAGACGAGATCAAAACGATGAATGAAAATATCGGTATATTTCATTCAATACCGATGTAATTACCAATAGCCATACCGATAATTCTCTGTTCAAGACACGACTGCTGGTCACATACGTACCTTGATAAACTCCAGGTTTCCTCGACGTCAAACTCTCTGCTGCTGTTCTGGAGGTCAACGATGCAGACAACGATTTGCTGGGATCTGTGATGGAAAGAATACAATTTTAGCAAATCTTAATAATTTCAATATTTTTTTTCATTTTTTCGAGTATGGGACATCAAAATCAATAGTTTAACCATTTCAATGTTTTCAGTTTTATGTTTATATCCAAAGGAACAAATCAGGAAAATGTTTAGAGTATGTTTTGGGTTAGGAATGATGGTTAGAGTGAGCATAAGAAGTGGGGTTCATGATATGTTCTGGGTTGGGATGAATATAAAACTTTAGGCAAATAGTTAGAGTAAGCATATGAAGTGGGATTCATGGTATGTTCTGGGTTGGGATAGGAATAAAACCGTAGGCAAATGGTTAGAGTAAGCATATGAAGTGGGATTCATAGTATGCCCAGGCTTGGAATATACCTTATAAAACTTAACAACCTTGTCAGGAAGCAATAGAGTTATTCCGGATATCCTGTCAATTCTATCGCTTACTCAGTCTAGATTAATTAGGAAGCTGTAAAAATAATCAACCAACAAACTGCTTTTGTTGAAGTAAATCTCGCATATGAGCATTTGCTTATGTGGCTTTGCCTGTGTGACAGAATCTTTTATACAAACTATGTCGGCAGTATTTTCACAACAAGGTTCCAAACAAGGCATAGCAAAACTACTCATTTTACGCTACTCAACTATTTTCATCAAAGGTCCGACCATAAAATTTAAAAAATCCCCAAAAATATAATTTAAATGTTCGAACTAAATTTCGAATGCACCGTTTAAAAGAGATATGATATATTTTCAAGACTGAAAATTTAGGATATTTCAGTTGCGACGAAGAATGAATTTTTCCAAATAATATTATCTAAAACCACAACGTTCACAAGGATTTTAGAAAAATATTCATAAGTTGACTTTCTGTCCAATAACAAGTTATTTGTCAATCATTAGTATGAGAAATTGCATTTTTTCTTTTTTGCCAGCCTATAATAAGCAAGTGAGCTGATGCTCTGAGAAACTTATATTGATATGACAATTTTAATTTTGGTACTTTAGCGAAAGATGCATTACATCACGACTGTGAAATAAATTGACTGCGGTCTAAATTTAATACTAGAAAGGTTCGGATGCCGACCGCGGTCAGTTGAGTAGTCCTGATTTAGAGCATCGGTTCCCAACAAAGGCCTGTGGCACACCAAGGGGGCCACAATGATTTAATTTGCCCTTTACAAGTAAACTCTTAGTTAATTCTAGTTTCATTGCTTGATAAGGTTATTTAAAGGGTGTTTTCAATTTGTTGATCATGAACTATCTCATTTTATTTGGGATTCGGAATCTACTAATCAGAATAACCCTCTAAATATATGATAAATAACGGGGCATTACTGCTAAAAGCCCCTGGAGGAGGCCATGAGCAATAAAAGGTTTGGAACCACTGCATTAGAAGAATATACAATATTTCACGCTCAACATTTCAATACTTTAGTTTCAGGAAGTGAAATCCCATTTGAAACTGTGATTTATGCTGGGTTTGAATTTTATACCGTTGGCGAATCACAGCTTAAAATTCAAAGCTCTTCAGTGGACAAGAAAGTGTGCGTGTACAAGATTTAACAGCAAAAATTATTTTACGTTGTTAATATTCCAAATCTAACTTATAATTCAACACATTATAGACGAGATCAAAGAGATGAATGGAAATATTGGTATATTTTATCCAATACCGATGCAATCACCGATACATCTCTGTTAGAGACAGAACTGTTTGTCATATACGCACCTTGATCAACTCCAGGTTCCTTCGACGTCAAACTCTCTTCTGCTGCTCTAGAGGTCAACGATGCAGAGAGCGATTTGATGGGATCTGTGATGGAAAGAATACAAATCTAGCAAAGCTGAATAATTTCACTATTTTCAATTTTTCGAGTAATGGACACCAAAATTCATAGTTCTACTATTTAAATATTTGCATTTTTTCGTTCATATAAAACTAGAAACGAATTAATTAGTATTGCAACAGCAAACAATGAGTGAATTACTATATCACATTAGTATTTGAAGTGCCTTAGTTGAAGCAGAAGTTTCATTGTCTTTTTGAGTGCACCACTAGTTTACTGCCTTAGTGGATTATTGTAGTTGCAGTTGACACTGACGCCTAAGAACAAATGTTGTTTAATATAACACTCACCCATTTCCAGCAAACTTGTTAGATTTCTTGAATGTTTGGAAATATACCAGCAAGCTTGTGAGGTATTTAAGATAAACTGCAAATATAGAAAAATGGTAAGTGGTTTTATCAAAACTCACATTTTTTTATTAGTGACGGGGCTTTCTACAAAATATCCATGATATGTAATCTTTTAATAGACCGAAATAATTTTTCTGGTTGCCTATACATATATGACATTCTCCGAGAAATCGCCAACATAAATGATTCTAAATCTATAACAACTACGTCACCGTACCCAACGAGGGGGGGGGGGGGAATAAAAAAAATGATGAAAGAATCCCTAAGTGAGAAAAAGCTGGTCAAGCTCTCATTCCCTTGCTATGGCAGTACAATACTACTCTAGAAAGGGCTCAAGCTGATAAATGAGACATTTCTAATTAAACAGCTTTATGCAATGGAGGTAATGAAAAATAACAACAGGAACCATCTTTGAAGACTACACCTAATATACTGTCTATATGGCAATGCAGAAGCCCTTAAAGACGAGCTCATTCGAATGGCAATCGGGCCCATATATCCATCTCTATTTTTACCTACTGTCTGTATGACTACACAAATAGCCTTCTACAAAGGAGACATTTAAATGGCAATTGGAACTATATATCAATCTCCATTCCTAACCTGCTGTCTATATGGCAGTCAAATAGCTTTTTACAGAATAGGCCATTCAAACCATTTATCCATCCATGGAACCATTTATCCATCCCTGACCTGCTGTCTATATGGCAGCCCTATAGCCCTCCACAGAAAAGCCATTCAAATGAAAATTGAAATTATATATCCATTCTTATTCCTAACCTGCTGTCTATATGGCACCCCTATAGCCCTCCACAGAAAAGATATTCAAATAAAAATTGGCACCATTTATCTATCCCTATTCCTAACCTGCTGTCTATATGGCATTCCTATTGCTCTCTACAGAAAAGCCATTCAAATGAAAATTGGAACTATATATTCATCCCTATTCTTAACCTGTTGTTTAGATCAGTGCTTTCAACAGGGGTTGAATCCTACGTAATACATGCATTGGGGTTCCGTCAGTTTATAGGGTTCCTCAGGGGTTCAGCGTTTTTCTTTTTCAAGGGGAATTATTTCTTGCTTCAGCATGTTAATGCGTCATTATAAATATTCTCAGACCACCGTGTCTCATTTAAACTCCCAAGTAGGCCAATTCGTTAAACAGGATCAGTAATCAGTAATTTATTTTTTCACCATTCTAAAGCACACAATGTGAATACACAATACAAGAAATAGGAAATATGGTACTTTAGGGTGAAGGGAGGCGCGAGACACCAAGACTGGTGATCGAGCAGCGACACCCATGACAAGTCTAACAGTAATAGATAAATAACAGTAATATATAATTCAAACAAACAATAAATATTAGAACAGGTTTACGTTAAAGTAAGTCGAGGCGACCTGCATACCCAAAAGACACCCGATCCAAGGAGAAACGGATAACGACTCCGAGCACCGTCTTGTGAGTAACCATGGCAACGTCAGCGAAATCTTATACTGCGGAATACAGACACTGCCTGAGTTGAGCTTGAATTCATATTTATCCCGCGAGGGGAAGCCGATAACTTGGCATATTTATATTATTATAAAATAGTTTTGTTTGTCGCAGTTAGGAATACGAGAGTGTGTAAACAAGTGGAAGTATAGTGGTAAGGTGCTTTGGTGCCGGAGACGTCGTGTGAAGAGGGAAGAGCCTAAGGACCCAACCTGACGTTAACAAGTAAAAAATAATAAAATTTAATTGGCGATTGAAAATAATCGACAAAATAAATAAATCTGGAAGTAAATAGTATTGCTAGTTAGACAAAATATGTACATAAAGAAACTAGTATATTAGAAAATTTTAGTCCATCATTGAAAACATGAATGCAGTAAACACTTTACGGTATCGGTACCCAAGCAAACAGCATATGAAATAGTTTGGTTATTGTATGAGTGGCACATGGCTATGCACTGACACGGTGGGGGAAATAACAAGTTCAAGATTTACAGAGTCTCTATCTATTTCAGTTACTGTGGACTGTGGGTGAAGTCAAGTGTTGAGCTGACAATGACAAGGGGTGGAGGGTGTCAGCACATCAAACAGATGTGGTGACCCGAGACAGGTAAGATGAAAGCATGACCTTCTTATATTTTATTTTAAAAGAGACGTATGTGCTTTCACGTAAACTTTGTGGAATACTATTCCATATTATGACACCTTTGTATTTCAGGGAATTTTGAGATTTGCTCAGTGAAAAGCGAGGTACAAAAAAATTGGACTTGGTTGAATAGCGAGTGTTGTGTTCATGCACAGAGGTAAGCGAAACAAAATAATTGTCGAAAGCTGTGGGCAAGTGGTTGTTTTGAAATTGGTGCATAACTTTGGAGATCTCTAGAGTGTGAATGTCAGATAGTTTTAACACCCTTGTTTTATGGTATAGGGTGTTTAGGTTTGTACGAATAAATGCTCTAGAGAGGGTTCTAACAGCTTTATTCTGTAAGATCTCCAATTTATGAATGTTAGTTTGCGCTGCTGAGCCCCAAGCGGTTATGGCATATTGTATGTGGGATTGAAAGAGAGCAAAGTAGACAGTTCGCAGGGTGGCATCCTGGACATAATGTCTGAGTTTTCCCAATATCCCAACCGATCTCGACAATTTCTTATGTAATTCGATAGTATGGGTGTTCCATTTTAAATTATTATCTATATGGAGCCCGAGAAATTTATAGAATTGGACGACTTCCAAGGCAACCCCCCTGATTTTGATTAGAATGTTGGCATGTGTTAGCGATTTTCGGCTGGAAACCATGACTTTAGATTTTTCGATATTTACAGTAAGTTTGTTGCATAACATCCACTCATATATTTTTTTTATTTCTGAGTTTACAGTGTGTTGGAGTGTGGTCAAGTCTTTTCCACTAGCAAGCAGGCAGGCATCATCGGCGAAGAGCTTGGTTAGAAGATTAGAGCAGTTCAACAAGTCATTTACAGAGAGTAAAAAAGCCAAAGGCCCGATAATTGAACCCTGGACAATTCCGCACTGAATGGGCAACATTGGGGACTTATGAGAACCTAATTCAACAAATTGAAAACGACCACTCAGGTAATTAGCTAGTAGTTTGCTTACATTACCTCTGAAACCATAGTGTTGCAACTTTTGAATAAGAATTTTGTGGTCCATCGTGTCAAAGGCTTTCTTTAGATCAAGGAAAGCACAGCAGACAAACTCACATTTATCTATTTTGTCATAAATATATGATGTTAAGTCTAGGATGGCATGGCTAGTAGAGTGGTCGGGTTGGAATCCGAATTGGCATTTATTGATCAAGTTGAATTTGGTACAAAGAATTAGCATTCTCTTGTATATTAACTTTTCCAGAATACGACCAATTGAAGATAGAATAGAAATTGGCCGATAATTAGAGGGATTATTTTTGTTGCCGCTTTTGAAGATTGGTATAACCCTGGCAATCTTTAATGAGGAGGGGAAAATACCATAATTGAATGATAAATTAAAAAAGTGACTCAATTCTGGAGAAATAATATCTGCGACTATTTTCAAGAAAAACGGGGAAATACCATCATGTCCAACTGTTTTGCCCTTTTTCAGGTTCAATATTATTTGGTGAACCTCGGAAGGTGTCGTTTGCTCCAGAAAAAAAGAGTGCTGTGAGGGAGCACTCAAGAAAGCTTTGAAAGATTTCTTGCTATGTGGAATATTGTCAGCAAGTTTCTTTCCTACAGATGAAAAGAATTTGTTGAATTCGGCGGATATTCTGGCGGGGTCGGAAACTGTGGCACCATTTTCAAGCTCCAATTCAGAGACGATGGATTCATTTTTGGACCTAACTTTAATAATGTCATTGATAGTTTTCCAAGTGTGCTTCACATCCCCTCTGTTGTTTTCAAGGATATTATGGTAATACATTTGTTTTGATTTTCTCTGCAAGTGCGTCAAAATGTTCTTGTATTTTTTGAAGTGGAGACGTTGGGATGAGTTTCCCTTTAAGATTTTTTTTCTAAACATATTGTTTTTATGTTTGACGGACTTACGAATTCCTTTAGTAATCCACGGTTTAGAGTAAAGGTTATTTTCTCTACGCGAAAATGGTCTTAATGGAGCATGTTTATTAATCAACCATTTGAAGTGACTAAGAAAAAAATCGAATGAGCTATTGAAGTTTTCCTCATGTATGCTAATACTAGTATAATTGTTACAGATCGACTCAACCTCCAATCTGAACAGGTCAACACAAAATTTAGTCATGTCACGTTTCATGCGAGTGTTTGTCTTTATATTGCCAGTAGTTGCTGATATTGTGCACATTACGGGAAAGTGGTCAGTGAGATCACTGAGCAAAATAAATGATGAATTGCAGAAATTTACGGTATTGGTGTAAATATGGTCTATAAGGGTGTGAGAGGTCGAGGTAACTCTGGTTGGTTTGGTAATGAGCGAGCATATAAAATTAGTCATGAGCATGTCTAAATACTTGGTAGTGAGATTGTTATGAGAATCAAGAAGATTTATATTGAAATCACCTAATAATATAAATTGCTTTTTAGCCATTGTCAGCTTCTCGAATAGACAGGACTTTAAAAGTTCTTTAAAATTGTATCCATTATCATCACCTATCTATGACCTAAACAGTGATCCCAACCCAAACTGGGAATCTATCAACTTTCACCCTGAAATTTCTTCTACCTCAAGTCAATATCTTGAAATGTCTGATATCAACAGGGTAACGTCAAGTTTTCTACCTTCAGAGTTCATCATTTTGCACCTTAATATTAGATCATTACCTAAATATTCTGATAATTTAGTTGAATTGATTTCCAATTTTTGTACTCTACCTCAAATCATCGCCTTAAGCGAGACCAGCGTTAAACAGGAGGTTTAGTCACAGTGCAGTTAATAGCATAAACAGAAATATTTTCGGTTGTTGCGTCACTTTAGTCATTGTTATGCAACAAACAAGAATGCTATTGTTGCACCATAGTTACATGATGTTCAAAATATGTAGATATAGAGGACTTGCACGGGTCACGTGACTTTGTTTACTGGACGGCAAAAAACAAAAACGTCCATTTGGCTATTCTTAACCTGCTGTTTATATGGCACCCCTATAGCTCTCTACAGAAAAGCCAATCGAATGAAAATTGGTATTATATATCCATCCCTATTCCTAACCTGCTGTCTATATGGCACCCCTATAGCCCTCCACAGAAGAGCCATCCAAATGAAAATTGGAACTATATATCCATCCCTATTCCTAACCTGCTGTCTATATGGCACCCCTATAGCCCTCCACAGAAAAGCTATTCAAATAAAAATTGGAACCATTTATCCATCCCTATTCCTAACCTGCTGTCTATATGGCACCCCTATAGCCCTCTACAGAAGAGCCATTCAAATGAAAATTGGAACTATATATCCATCCCTATTCTTAACCTGTTGTCTATATGTCAGCCCTATAGCTCTCCACAAAAGAGCCATTCAAATGAAAATTGGAACCATTTATCCATCCCTATTCCTAACCTGCTGTCTATATGGCACCCCTATAGCCCTCTACAGAAGAGCCATTCAAATGAAAATTGGAACTATATATCCATCCCTATTTCTAACCTGCTGTCTATATGGCACCCCTATAGCCCTCTACAGAAGAGCCATTCAAATGAAAATTGGAACTATATATCCATCCCTATTCCTAACCTGCTGTCTATATGGCACCCCTATAGCCCTCCACAGAAAAGCTATTCAAATAAAAATTTGAATTACATATCCATCCCTATTCCTAACCTGCTGTTTATATGGCACCCCTATAGCTCTCTACAGAAAAGCCATTCGAATGAAAATTGGAATTATATATCCATCCCTATTCTTAACCTGTTGTCTATATGTCAGCCCTATAGCCCTCCACAAAAGAGCCATTCAAATGACAATTGGAACCATTTATCCATCCCTATTCCTTACCTGCTGTCTATATGGCACCCTTATAGCCCTCCACAGAAGAGCCATTCAAATGAAAATTGGAATTATATATCCATCCCTATTCTTAACCTCTTGCCTATATGTCACCCCTATAGCCCTCCACAGAAGAGCCATTCAAATGAAAATTAGAATTATTTATCCATCCCTATTCCTTACCTGCTGTCTATATGTCAACCCTATAGCCCTCCACAGAAGAGCCATTCAAATGAAAATTAGAACGATATATTCAACCATATTCTTAACCTGCTGTCTATATTCACCCCTATAGCCCTCCACAGAAGAGCCATTCAAATGAAAATTAGAATTATATATTCATCCCTATTCCTAACCTGCTGTCTATATGTCAGCCCTATAGCCCTCTACAGAAAAGCCATTCAAATGAAAATTGGAACTTTATATCCATCCCTAACCTAACCTACCGAAACGACCCTTTACAGAATAGGCCTTTCAGATTGATACATAAATCCCTAATCCTAACCTGCTATAAAATTGCCAATAATCCTCTACAATCTGACAACGGAGTAAATTCAAATAGCGAAATGCTTGTCCGAAGCCTTGTTTGGAGTGAAGTTGCAAACAACACAAGATATATATCCATTGCGTAAATACAACAATATTGGTAGTCTGTTTGACAATGCAACAGAAAATCAACAATTTACAGAATCAAAGTTTTCATGGAAGCCTGTAGATTACTCTCATGTAATAAATACTTGAACTGAAACACCCAAAGTTTTGATTCATCTTTTCAAACTCCTAACCCGACCTGGGAAGACTGTCCCTAGACACAGCAATTCTAATCTTAGGCCTAAGTCTGACTGAGATTAGCAAATTATAATATTCATTGGTCTAGTACCTAACGTTCAGGCGTTTTCCTTTGTGGAATGTGACTTTGCCAGCTTTCTATTGCATCGCGTATTATGACAGGAAATTGTTCACGGTTAACAATGAATGACGTCAGTCACCTCGAAGCAATGCATTTAAGATGATCGGATGACCAGCATGTGTGTTAGAGGTTAATATTTTCGAACTTCCTTGTATTTCAGAATGCAGTATAGCGAGGTAGGAACACCTAGACGACTGTTATTACTATAATATTTATTTATGCAAACATTATAAACAGCGCTGCCGTAGTACGGGAACTAAGATGGCGGACATCGGAACGTAATATGTGTATTAGGTTAGGGTTAGGACATAATTTTATTCCACTTTTTCCTATTTTAGTTCTATTACGAGTTCGACGACTAGCCAAGTGACTCCAATAATATTTGTACCTGAAATTATCACCTCACCGTAAACTGGTACACATACTACGTTCATGTGTCCGCCATCTTGATTCACATACTACATGAGTACATTATGAATAAACTACTTGAACTGTCCAAATGAGACTTGCGCATAACACTGGCTAAAGATCCATTAAATATTGAATAAATAACTTATACTTATGCATATTAACTACATAGTCACGGCAACTACTATACGTATGCCAAGGGTGTCGAACTCACGATGAGATTCAAGTTGAAGTGACGATATTTTTATCAGTCACAAAATTGGATGGGATGGATCTCAGCTCAAAATTTGTTCAAAAATGTTCGGATAACTGTACGGGGTGGGTCAGGATTAGAGTGAAATTTATTCCTCATCAGTTCATTCATTATCTGTTAACCCACATTTGACCCACCCTGTATATATCATTGGTTACCGACCGCTGGTCAGCGAAACTTTTTTTTCGGTCCGCGATTAATTTCGTTGCTTTGTTGTTACTTATCGATCTTTAGATATTTGTAGGTATTTGTCTGTTTGTCTGTCTGTTCGTTAGATGCACGCGATATCTCACGGAGGCGTGCTTGAATCTGCTCCGAATTTTGCATGTGCATTCATCATATCTCGGACCAGAAGCCTATTGATTTATAATGAATTATGTCGTATAATTAGCGAGTTAATATTTAATTAGTGATGGGACACAAGGTGTCACTATGGAGTAAGAGCGCTGTTTTGGGTGATCCCTTAACTTTCGATTGATAAGTTTTCGGTCTCTGACCGATATTCTCGTTTTCCTGTCGGCGCGTCCGCTTAACCGAAACTGCATTGCTTCGCGATTTCTTTTCCGCCGTTTTGCGTTGCGTGTTTGGTTTCAATTTCGACATCTTGGCACCGAGTAACCACACTCATCGCTTTTCAGATTTTGATTCGTCAAAAGCGCTTTGTTAAATCTAGCTTGTGTCAAAAACCTAAAATTCTATAAATAATTCTTGGGATAGTATAGGATTTACAAATTTATTTCGGGGGGGGGGGGGGGGGGGGGGGGGGGGGGAGATGATCCGAACCTGCGAACCCCACGCAGAGTAATCAGAAGTGCAGCGGGGAGCGTATTCCAGACGCTTAGCACGATGCGCCACACCGTCGAGCCGTTAAGCACTGTACGTCAGTATCGAAGCACTTTCGAACAGATAAAAATATTACTTGCTCCAACATTTATTCTTCTATTGAATGCAGACAGAGTTTCACATTTGAAAGGAACATATATTGTTGAATTTTTAAATTTTTATTGTCCTACCGAGTTTGCGAATAAACTCGTATTTTATTTTAAATTCCAACAAAGTCTAATTCAATTCAAGCAGTGTCGCATGATAGTTCTCCTCATACCATGTTACGTAGAAAGTGTACATGGAAATGCTGTGTAATTGTACATTTTTTACATAAGATTGTCGCATTATTAAAAAAAGCACCGATAGCTTTCATAGAGCCTAGGAAGAAATGATGCTTCATTCGCTTGCTCCGGTAAAACGTGATATATTAGTGAAAACGTGCAATTTTGAATCGTTGATTGAATTTCGATTTTGAGTACGTCGCAACGCAACTCATATGTTTTTGCTTTTCAATAAGTTTGATATTTGATGGTCTGATGATTTTAAAAAGATGTTTCAGAACGGATGATTTATTAGTGACAAAACTTAATACCCCGGTACTGTTTGAGGACCATTCATATTAAATTACTATCCGAAATGCATTTATCATTAATTACATTTTTAGGGATGTTATTTCGGAATAAAATTATGGGACTAACCCTAACCTGGTACATATACTACAGGTGTATCAGTTTTTATTCCCAACAAAAAAATATTAGGTCGCACAATTCCATCCGTATGCCGAAAAATGTATATGATAAATTGCAATTCCACCGGCCTATTTTATTCACGCAGTCAATTACGGCAAACAAGCAACAACGCTTTAAATAAAATAAGACCAGGTTCATATTTATCCAGTTTTATTTTTATGCCCCGTGTCCGTTTTAATATTTTGTTGCCGGTCCGCGGAGTCACTTTATCTCAGGGGTGGGCAAGGTTTTGAGTTTAAGTTTGGTTGTGACAGCATCAGACGGGCCAGATTAAATTACCCAACGGGCTAAATTTAACCCGCGGGCAGTAGTTTACTCATGTAAGTTTTATCTG